TGAATGGTTGATTGGTTGGTTGGTTGGTTGATTGGCTGGTTGGTTCGATGGAATGGTGATATTTAAATAGAACTGAAGCAATAAAACGTTCGAAAAAAAATGTTCCAGAACATTCTATAAAAATTCTAGAATCATTCTTTCTCTCTCTCTCTCTCTCTCTCTCTCTCTCTCTCTCTCTCTCTCTCTCTCTCTACTCTCTCTCTCTCTCTCTCTCTCTCAACCTCCCGCAACACGCAATAATAGTAACAATATAATAAATGAATAATAAAAATAATTGATTGGTCATTATTCAATGTTTAAGAAGTAAATGATAGGAGATGTTTTCTAAGAAAACTCCAAACTGGCTGTCAGTTAACAACAACAATAATAATAATAACAATAATAATAATAATAATAATTGTTATTATTATTATATAAATAACTACATAATTATATACAATAATAATAATAAGAACGTTGCAACTGATGATAGTTTTATACTAATAAAAAAAAACTTTACCGGCAACGATTACAACAACTGTAATAATAATAATAAGTAAATGAATAATATAATTATTATATTTATAATAACTATAATTATTATATTTATAATAATTATGAATAATACTGCGCGTAGCAGATGTAATTATTATTCCATCTCTGAAACATTTTCAAACAGCCGATGGACCTATAAGTAAATGGTTTTTGAAGGATTACAAAATTAATTATAACTATAATAATTATTTATAACTATAATAATAATTATAACCACTATAATTATTATTATTGTTGTTTTAGTTGTTATTATTCACCTTTAAAACTTTTATTCAAATTCTGTTGATCATTTGGTGCTTTAATGGATTGAGCATTTTCATTGACTGGGCCAGATTTAGATGAATTGATGCTATTGGCCGGCTTTATTTCACGTGAATTCTGATTGGCTGCTACTGTAGTGGATTCTGTGTTACCAGTTGAATTAGTGGCATTCTGAATATTCGGAAGTAACGAAGCATTTTCATTGGCTGTTGAATTAACAAGCGGAACGTTGCTATTGGTTGTTGTTGCAGCCGAACTAGCGATCTGATTGGTTCTCATTTTGAGTAAGTCATCTACTTCCGGGGCAAGTTTGATGGTTGACACGTTGAAAATAGACGCCACTAAAGAAATTGATTAGTCAAAAATTATTTTTAATCTTTCTTCTACTCATCATCATCACCATCACCATCATCATCACCATCATCATCACTACCATCATCACCATCATCACCACCACCATCATCATCACCATCATCAACACCATCATCATCACCATCACCATTGTCGTCATCCTCACCATCGGATAGATGGTACAGTTTGGTGGGCATGTCATAAAAATATTTATTGTGGAGAGAGTTGTAGGAATCGATACGCTTCTTTGGCTCGAGCTGGGACAGTAAAAAAAAGACGGAAGAACGGATGAATGAATGAAAGAATGAATGAACAAATGAATGAATGAATGAATAGATGCCATTATCCCATCATAACAAAACCTGCAACAACTGTTCAGCCAGCTGTTCAGAATACGGTATGCTTGATAACTTCGGAACGGATTTTATAAGCTTCTTCATTGGGTACATAGCAAATTTTTCTGCAAATTTTTTGACACCATTACCATCACCACACCAACATTATCATCAACAACACCCGCAACATCATCATCACCACCAACATCATCATCATCATCATCAACAACAACATCATCATCAAAACCTAAATTATAGTTTGGCATGTTAGTCACACCTTCCCAAACGCTCTCAGTGGCCGTTCCAAGCACCTTATAAATCATTTTATTCATTTTACTATCTAATTATTTTTTTATTCATTAATTTTATTTAATTAATTCGCAAATATTACTACTACTACTACTACCTCTACTACTACCACTACTACTGCTACTACTACTACCTCTACTACTACTACTGCTGCTACTGCTACTACTACTACTACTACTACTACTTCTACAGTTAGCACTACCTTCCAGATGTGGTCCAGTTGGTCAAAGTTGTCTTTCATACCGGGAAATATAGCAGAGCCCGTGATCATTTCAATAAAAATGCAGCCCACACCCCTGTGCGTGTGTGTGTGTGTGCATGTGTGTGTGTGTGCGTGTGCGTGTGTGTGTGTGTGTGTGCGTGCGCGAACAAACCACATGTCAAGAGATGTTGTGTAGTCGGTAGAGCCCAGTAAAACATCAGGAGGTCTGTACCACAGGGTGACAACTTCGTTTGAGTACGTGTGGCTGGGGACTGATTTAGCCCTGGCAAGCCCTGGATGAATATATGAGTGAATGAAGGAATGGATGAATGAGCGAATGAAAGAATTGACGAACGAAGAGATGAATGAATGAATGATACAACGAAAAAAAGTAATGAAAAGAAATTACCAAAATCAGCCAACTTCAATTCACCAATTTCGCTTATCAATAAATTCTGTGGCTTCAAATCTCTATGGAAAAAATGAAATGAATGAATGAATGAGTGGATGAATGAATGAATGAATGAACGAACGAACGAACGAACGAATGAATGAATGAATGAATGAATGAATGAATGAATGAACGAACGAGCAAATGAATAAACTACTCAACGAATTAATAAAACTAAAATACCACAAAATTAAAATTAAATTATAAGAGACCTATGCAAGATGTATCTTTTGTGGCAGAAGTGCAAACCTCTCAATAGTTGAAACATGAACAACTAGAAGAAATTAACATTAATTAATAAATAATCCATTGGTTAATTAATTAGTTAGTTAATTAATTAATTAAGAGAGAAAAAGAGGGAGATAGAGAAGGAAAGAGAAAGAGAGAACAAAAAAAATGTACGACCTTGACATTCTTCGGATTAATGCCACCGGGATACTTTTCCAGGTACTGTCCAAGATCTGTATTCTGTGGAAATATAACAAAAACAACAAAAATAACAATAACAACAACAAAAATAATAATAACAACAATAATAATAATAAAATCCATCATTATCGCCATTGCCACAGACCAAATATTCAAAGACGAAAGTTAGAGATTCTTTGGTGTGAATGATGTCATGTAGCGTCACTATGTTGGCGTGCTTCAGTCCTTTCAGAAGAGACGCTGTTGGTGGTGGTGTGATGATGATGGCGGTAATAATAATAATAATAATAATTATTATTATTATTATTATAATAATAATAATAATTATTATTATTATTATAATAATAATAATTATTATTATTATTATTACCTTCACGTATAGCTGTGAACGGCGTTCCTTCTTCTGACTGCAAGCGAATTTCTTTCAAAGCTACGACTTTGTTTGTCAATCTGGGAATGAATGAATGAATGAATGAATGAATGAATGAATGAATGAATGAATGAATGAATGAATGAGTCCTAGATAAACTTACAGACTTATTCCCTTGTAGACAGTTGCATATGAACCTTCTCCGAGTTGTTCCAACTTTTCGTATGCTTTCATCTTTCCAAATTGTGAGTTGGACTGAAAGGTTTGAAGTGCTAGCATTATTATCACCACTAGTAAAGACATAATTTTTTATTAATCAACCAGCCAATCAATCAACAAATCGGCCAACAAACCAACCATTAAACCAACCAATCCGCCAAATAGCCCACCATTCAACCAACCAATCAAGCAATCAGTCAACCAACCCCAAAACTTGAAGCCCTTTTATTCCTCATGCTATCCCTTGAAAAGCCCTCTACCGACCTGGGCCTATGCTGCCTCATTATCACCCTTTCGCCCTCTCCAGACTCGTCACCACTTCTCAAACCACCATTGCTAAAATTCCCGCCGAAATTTTCATCCATACGTCGCATGTCTGGATTGAATGCACCACAGTAACTTGAACTCATGACAGTGTTGCTGCTGTTGCCGTTGCGCTTGCTTTTCAGCTTCAAGAGGTTGTGGTGGTGACTTCCCTTTGAGTGGTCGTCATTTTGTTTTAATTTGTGGTCGCTAGAGGCGCCGCCACCTCCACTACCAGAGAAAAATGGGTGAAATAAATTTTTTCCCGAGCCCAACATGTTGCCCATGCTGTGATGTCGCTTGACTAGAAAATGTTTCTTGTGACTTTTTTGAGGCGTTCCCCCACTCTCCTTTTCCGAGGACTTGCCCCAGTGAACTTTATCAGAATTCGGAGTCAGGGTCTTCTCCCCGCCCAAGATGTGATGGAAAAAATTGAAATGGTGGTTGGGGGTGTTTTTTTGGGGTAGAACATTGGAGGATGAAGAAGAGGAGGAGAGTAATGATAGGGCCCTCTTCAGAGTGGAATGTTTTGATTTCGTCGATCGATGATGCTGGCTCTGCTGTTGAAATTGTTGCTGTTTCAACTTCTGCCCGTCAGAACTATCACTACAGTAGGTTATGTTGCCATCAACAAACATAGAACTTCTGTAAACAATGCCAGAACCGGACTGACCAGCTGAAAATTCATCGCCCTTCTTACTTCTGCGGTGGTCTTTTCGCAGCAGACCACCGCTGTTGACTCTTCGACGATATTCCGTATCTGGCCAATAGTTTGGATCAGCTGACGTCTGTCCTTGATGGTCCCTCGATCTACTTGCATCGTCTTTGTAGTCATCATGGTGGTCGGACATCATTTCTGGATGCTTTTTGTTGCAGCCCGCACTCCAATCCTGAGGACTCTTGCCGTAATATTTGCTGTAGAGAGGGCTGATGATTCCGATATCTCGTTTTGAGGATTTCTTCTTCTGAGTAGACTGTTCATCTAGGGAATGTCCAAGACATTGGATGAGGTTCTGCTGACGACCGCTGCCGTCGTTGTTGAGGCGGTGGTCGTAGTAGTCGCTGCTTCTGCTGCTGCTGTTGTTGTAGTAGTCGTTGTGGTGGTCAGGGCCACTGCCACTGTTTGATGATGATTGTTTCTGGTGGTTTGGAGTGACGTGAAGACTCTGGCAGATGAGAGGCGACGGCGATGAGGAATACGACGACGATGACGTCATTCTGTCGCCACTCAAGCATCTGTAGTGGTTCGTGGTGCCTGGTTCAAACTGCGTGAGGTTGAATGTTACTAACTTTAAAATCTGGCAAATTTTACTGACGCACAAACAACATGTAAGAAAAATTAAATACCAATGGTACTTATGTATGCGTGTGTTTGCGTGCGTGTGCGCGTGTACGTATGTGCGTGTGAAATTAGTACGAGATATGGTGTTCAGAATATGCGTGAATTGTAAAAAAAATTATTGAAACATAATCTACCAAAAAAATTTGTTTTAATTATAACATTTTGATATTTGATATATATATATATATATATATATATATATATATATATATATCAAATATTTTACTATATATATATATATATATATATATATATATAGTAAAACACGACACGCATGCAGTTACACACACAGATACACACACACACATACACACACACATACACATTGTTTTTTGTTATACACGCATCTCATATTGTTTTAAATATCTTCCAGCTCCATCAATGTTTAACCATAATTCATAATAAAAAATAATTACAATAATAATAAATAATAACAATAATAATGATTATTAAATAAATAATAATAATAATAATCCCACAAAACTTAAGCAAATTTTTCTCACAGTTTGTGAGAAGAAATTGTTAATTTTAAAATTTCCATTCAAGTTTGAGATACATATGTTCAAATTGTTTGTGAATGAATGAATGGATAGATGAATGAATAAATGAATGGATGAATGAATGAGCAATTTGATAAAATATACAATTTATTCAAACACAAACCAACGAAAATTTACCACAAAGAAAAAACTTTCCAAACCTCAAACTCATTCTCCGGTATGGCTTCTTCTTTCGAGATGGCTTAAAAACAATTCAATTATAATAAACAAAATAATAATTATAACAATAATTATTATTGTAAAATAATAATTATAACAGTAATTATTATTGTAATTAATAAAATACCCATCAAACATCCTAATAAGATAATTCAGAAACATATCTATAACACGCTATATGTGCTTGCGTTGTAACTTTTATGACAATCATTATATATTATCATTAATTATAACAGTAATTATCCTTAATTACAACACACGTTTAGACGACATTTTCCCCGAGATCGGGGGTTGCCGTTTGGCTACCTATGATGAAACCGAAATACCCCTCGATGCCATTCCATCATAAGTAATTTATTTGGCTAATTTTTATGCAGGACGCCCTTCCTTACGCAACCACAGTTATAAGCGGTGGGCCTAGCCTTTGATGATCCAACATCACTCACAAGGCAGTGAGGGTCAGTTTAATGTCATAACCAGGACACAATAATTATCATTAATTATAATAAATTATTAAACAAACATTCATAATAAAATGATAATATAATGCGAGGTGGTTGAACTCAAAGGGTAGGAAATTTTACAAGAGAAAACATCATCTGCATGCATCTCATTAGGCATGGTAAGAAACTAAGCAACGATAGCTCTCTCCAACAATAATAAACAACAATAATAACTGTTTGTTATTGTTGTAATTATTATTATTATTATTATCACTATCATTATTATTATTATCATTATTATTATTATTATCATCATCATCATTCTCTTTGTGCCCATTTAAAATGTATGGCTAGCATTGTAGATTATCTATATAATTAACATTATAAGTTTTATTACTTTTACCTTATAATTACAATGTATGTTTTAAAATTATTATTATCATCATTATCATTATTATTAATGTTATTATTATTATTATCATTATTATTATTATTATTGTAGTACCTACCCAGCCTTCCGAAGCTAGCAGAAATTCTTTGTTTAATCTTCAACAGTTTGTATGTGCATTTCTCTTTGCCTATATTTGAAAAAAATTATATATAATAACATTATTGCTATTGTTATATTATATTATTATTATTCTTGTTGTTGTTATTGTTGTAATCATAATTAATAAATAATAAAATCTAATTAATAAATAATAAAAACGAATGAAACAAACACCTCCTCTTAGCTTCACTCTACTATTATTATTACTATTAGTAGTAGCAGTGGCAGTAATATTATTATTATTATTGCTGTTGTTGTTGTTACTGCTGCTGAATGATGAGGATGATGATAATGATGTCATCATTGTTGTTGTATCATCAAGAGATCTTTGTTGTTGTTGTTGTTGCTTGGGTTTGTTGGCGTTATTTTTATTGTTATTTTTGTGATTGTTGTTGTTTACTATATCCATGTTTATACTTTAGCAGTTGGGTCTTTCTAGTATAAATAAATGATATATACCAAATTAATTGATCATTGATGGATGATAGGATAGATAGAAAGTAGAGAGAGTATCATATCATTTTGGGGAACAATCTAACACCTCTATCTATCAAACCCAACTAAATAATTCTTTGAAACAAGTGACAGAATGAATCATGTTTTGTTTAGTTTAGTGCTAACTAAAACAACAAAAATACTATAGTATGGTTATAGAATGGAAGGGAATGGACATACTGAATGATATTAAAATACTTGTACAATATATAACAGTATATAAAAATTGTTAATGTAATTAATTTATTAATTAATAATATAATTATAATGGAAAAAAGCAAACAATTTTAAATTAAATATCAAATCAAATAAAAAACAGTCATATCAACATACACAAGATAAAATACATATTAATAACAGATATGCGTCCTTTATGAATTTCGCAACGTCTCGATATAGTGACATCCCTGATCATCACTAATTTAGCGTAAAAAACAATTTTAAACATTTTTTTATTAAAAAAAAGTAATTTTAACATCATCTTGCCGAAAGCTAATAGCATACATACATACATACATACATAAACATTGCATTCAGCTTAAATTGATGTTGACAATATCAGTCTTTGTTTTTTAGCGTTGGCTTTCCATAATTTTTATATTTTTTAATCAATTAATTAATTAAGTCTATTATAAACCGCAATTTTTGCAATGTTCAACAACTTTCTTAATTAATTTAACAAACAAATAAATTTTGAAATTTGCTCTGAACTTCGATTGGTTTTGAGAAAATGGGGCTGATAACGTGAATTAGGCTGAGAGTTTACTCAATTTCCTGAGCATGAAAATGTACAACTTGGCAATGAAAAGCCCGAAGTTTTTGATACATAGGCTGTATTTTGAATGGATAGAATAGTTATCAGTATGTACACTGAACACGCACTATGGTTCGATTTTTTAGAATGTAACGCTGATATACTAAGTTAAGCTGGTAGCTTGATACTAGATTCATGTAGAACTCAATCTCGTAAGCATGAAAATGTATAATTTGATACTGGAAATCTCGAAGTCTTCGATGTATAGTATAGTGAATGGACCAAAGAGTTATCAATCATTATGTATTACTGAACCTACACTATAGTTCAAATTTTAAACGTGACGCTGGTGTCACGAATTAAGCCATCATTTTTAATTGCCAACTGCCTAATTTGTTTGCTTGGACCCCCCACCTACGTAAGACACATCACTTCATGTTACACGCGTGCCAGGCTCTTCAGCCATTACACTCCTTCCATGAGTTAATTGCGTAATAATTTTAATTTTTGTATATATCCGGACATAAAATGCGTGCGCGTGTGTGCGTGTGCGTGCGTGCGTGTGCACATGAAAAAACTTACTTAATAAACCAACGTATGATGTTGCATTTATTTGATCTAACTCATCCAACTTATAAAATATGACACCTTGTATAAACATAAACATAGGCCTATAAATATTTAAACTGTATCGTTGTTGTTATTACTATTATATTATTATTATTATATAATTATTATTATAAAATTATTATTATTATATAATTATTTATTGAAATTTGCTTACATCCGAACTTTAGGCATAATTTGATCGCATCCTAAAATTAATGTTAATCTCATTTCCACTTGCTCTCTCTTAATTAAAGCAATTATTATTATCATTATTACTATTATTGTTATTATTATTGTTTTTACTCTTATTATTATTATTATAAGCATTTATGAAGCGCTTTACTTTAGTTTTGTTGTTGTTGTTGTGTGTGTGTATGTATATATATATACACATATATACATCTAAATGGATTTTTTAATGATTTCAGATTCAGGTTTATTCTCGGCAATCTCGAAATTTTATTTTAAAATTTTGAAAAAAAATCGTTTAAAAGTTTAAAAAATCTTTTAGAGATGGCAGAAATGGTGGGTAAAATTGGCAACAAGTTGTCGTGGTTAATGTCAGTCGCCTTGATGTTGATAGTAATGACGACCGTTGTAATATGTAAGAATCGTCAAGGTTATTATTATTATTTATAATTATTATTATAATTTGTATTCAATTATTATTATTATTTATAATTATTATTATTGACGTTTGTTATCGTTATAATTATTTATAAAAAATAAAATTATTTTTCTTTGCGGCAGAAATCTTCATCACGCCAGCAGAGGTAAATTTGAAACCGGCCAATCAATCCATCGACCATAGGAATAACAATAATAATAATAATAACAACAATAACATCAATAACAACGTTAGTAATAATAATGGTTCAGTTATGAATGAAACTCATAAGAATAGTGCTAAAAAAACGACGCCTAAAAATCCAGTGAAGAAATTAATAGGAAAAGTAAGAATTATTATTATTATTATTTATTATTATTGCTATTATATTTATTATTATTATTTATAATTATTTCAAAATTTTCCAACAGCCAACAAAGAAACCAGTGACGAAGCGAGCCACAACTAGTAAATTGAAAAGAATAAGAACAACTACCCCATCCATGCATAATACTACAACTGTTGCTATTGCCAATACTACTATTACGACTGCTACTACTACTACCACCACCACCACCACTACTACTACTTCTACGACTACTACTAGCACAGCTACTACTAGCACGACTACTACGACTACTACTACTACTACTACTACTGCTGCTGCTGCTGCTGCTGCTGCTGCTGCTACTACTACTACTACTACTAATACTACCAAAACAGCAACAACAACTACTACCACTGCTACTACTACTACTACTAATTCAATTACTTATAAAACAGTAATAGTGATAGCACACTTACAACCGAAATTTGTTGGGAGTACAACAACAGTGGGTCTAATTATGGATGGGAGAAGGTCAACTGAAATAAAAATCGAACAAGAAAATAATTTTTTAAACATGGGTAAGTCCCATACACACACGCACGCACGCACGCACACACAAACACGCACACACATACATAATAATAATAATAATATAAATATTTAAACTATTTTAATATTATTGTCATTCACTTAATCATCGACATCATCATCAGATGATGTTTAATATTTAACACGCAGCCTTTGAAACATTTAAATCTGTATGTTTGATTGTCTGTGTGCGCGCGCGTGTGTGTGTTTGTGTGTGTGTGTTTGTGTATGTTTGTGTGTGTTTATGTAACCCAAAACTGCATTTGATGTTTGTGCTTTTGAAATTAAGAGTTAAGCAAGGAATATATAAATCTAACAGATAACAAGGATATTAAACTTTCGAATCAAAACAACAACATCAACAACAACAACGACAATGACAACAACAGCAACAATAACATCAACAACGACAACTTTGACTACACTAAAAGTGAACTTGACCATTACATTCAAATCGCCACCAACGGCAGACAAAGTAGCACCAAAGAACTTGAAAAATATGACATCAACAACGAAAGACACGACACAAAAGATATTCCATTGGTGTTTTCAACAGCTGTCATATTCTTCATTATCGTCATTATCCTATCTCACACCATACCGATTGTCATTCTGTGTAAGCGTCTCAAGTCTCCAAAAACCATGCCGAAAAAAAACTCACCGAAACTTCAAAACCGTGGAAAATTTTATCTAAGAACAGATATAAAGCCAAACAACAACAGCAAATACATCAACAACAACAACAACAAATACATCAACAACAACATTAACAACAACATCTTCGACTATCACGGTTTATATAGAATTTCTTACATGAACGCGACTCAAGATGACGATGACGTAATAATTAGTGGTTTTAATAAACAACAACGAGAGTTGAAACAACAACAACAACAACAACAACATCAACAACAACAACGTAAACAAGAAGACGAAGATGACGACCCATTTGAAAAAATAGCCCAGCAAATTTTGAAAGATGCTGCCATTTGAATGATTCATTGACTGAGAAATGATTCAGAAGAGATTTATAAAAAGATTTTCTGACATATTAATGGCAGAAAAGTTATTTAAAAAATGCCTAAAAATAATTGAAGAACTTGAAAAAAAAACCTCTCTCTTTAATAGTAATTAAATTTTGGCGTTAATTAAAAGGTTAAAATGTTTAAAATCCTTCAGAAGATAGATTTCTACACTTCAAATCGTTCATGTACTTTTTCGTTTTGCAAACTGGAAAAGGCTATTATTAATTACTATTATTAAATTTTTCATTATTAAAAGTATTATTATCATCATCATTGTGAATGTTTTAATAATAATAATAATTATTATTATTATTATAAAAATAATAATAACAATAATATGAATAGTAATAAAATTCTCCCCCAACAACTGCCGATTCAATTCGATTGAAAACTATTCTCAGTAATTAGTTCGGATTTAACCGCAAAATAAAAATAGTAATAACAACAATAACAGCATTAATAATAATAATAATAACAATAATAATAATAACAATAATAATAACAATAATAATAATAAAGCTGAAGAACCGGCCAGATGTTACTTTTAACTTCCTAATAGGCGTTCGAATTAAATTTTGAAGTTAATTAAGCATCCACAGGACTATTATGCTGTTAGATGTGAATAATAATTTCTATATTTACAGTTTATTATAGTTAAATAAATTATTTCATTTAATAATTATGTCCGTAATTATATGAAGAATTGAAAAAGTAGTTGAAAAACGCTAGAGCAAGCATACATGTACAAATACAATAGCTGGCAATAGTTTACGATGACCGATTTGTTACAATACATTACCCCTTCCCTGGTTTACCTAGAGAGCCCAACTCATTCGTCAAAAGGCCTCACCCAAACCAGTTTTCTTGAACCGTTTGAATTCAAATCTTATTCAACAAAAATGCTGTTGAGGTAATTAAGAAATAGCGTTTACAATAACTAATATACCAAATACTAATTAACAAGTATGTATATAAATACATATATAGCTACCTACATATGTATGTTCGTATACAATTTTGATAATATATAGAGATAATTTCATATATATATATATATATATATATATATATATATATATATATATATATATATATATACATACAAATTAAAGATAATATCTATGAATTTAATTTTCAGCAGTTTGAGATAATAAGAAATGGCCGTTGCGATGAGTTCTTGGATGTTTCAAATGGTTTTTTTGACCGCTTTTGGATTTCTTGGAAACGGTTTTAGAAAATTTTTTCGCAACTTATTATAACAATTTTTATTATTTTAATGTACAACTTTTAAGGATGTTGTCGTGAAATTATCGGCGAGAGTTCTCAGCTAACAACCCAAAATATCAATGGCGGATATTCTTACGATGGTGGCTTCACTGAAAACGAAATTCAAGAAATAAACACTGATGAATATACTACTACTGCTGCTACCACCACTGTTACTACTACTACGGCAGCTGCTGCTACAGCTGCTTCTACTACTGCTGCTACAGCTGTTGCTTCTAATGCTACTGTTGCGAGTATTAATGAAAGTATTATTACTTCTACTTATGATGTGATTAACTCCATTCCTCCATTGTCGCCAGTGTCTGGCCAAAAATCTGCTACGAACAAAGTTTATATTGAAGGTAATTTTATAAAACTTCCAAAGAATGATACTAGTCATACTTTGTGGATTTATAAAAAATTATAAGATCATTTTTTTGTAATTTAATATAATATTTTTCATAATTTTTACAGAAAATCCGAAAAAAATCATGCAAATGTGGATTGGCGTCATATCTGCCGGGGCCCTACTCTGCCTAGTTGTAACCGCCGTCCTTTGCTCCAATGAAATTCTCGCGCTTTTATGCTGTAGAAATAGAAAAACTTCTACTGCAGCTGCTGCTGCTTCTGCAAACCCGGAAAATGATAAAAAAAATGGAGTCGATGAAACAAAATTGGATGTAGGTATGGATAAAGACGGTGAGAAGGTATTGGATGTGATTAAAAAGGATGAGGTTTTAATCGTGATTGACGCTGAAGACGGAGAGAGGAAAGATGAAGCAAAGGGAGAAAAAAAAGACGAAACTGTGGTAGCGTTCGGTGCAGGTCAAACCGCGCAAGCCACCGACGATGACGTCTTGAAAGTTGGGAAAGATGAAAATAAGAAATCTGAGATTGAAGAGAAATTGATTGTTGAGGTTTTGTTGATAGACGCGGCTAAAATCGAAGTGGAACCTAAAAAGGTTGCACTGGAAATGGCCCTGGATCGAATGGGAAGTAGTCCACGTGATGGGGATGAAGAATTGTCAGGAAAAAAAGCCCTTCAGACATCGACTGATGTTTCGCCAACCTCTATCTGAAAATTATTTCCCGCTATAATTTAGCAAACAACAACATTAGTTTTAGTAGTGGTGATGGAGAAGAAGAAGAAGAAGAAGAAGAAGAAGAAGAAGAAGGAGAAGAAAAAAAAGAAGAAGAAAATTATGATGATGAAGAAGATGGTTACAGACGATATTTTAATTTTTTTTCTAAATTTTAACTTAAATTAGATCTTGAAATTTTAGCGTTCTGGCTTAATTTTTTAACAATATTGATCATTTTTTTGTTTATTTTCTTAGCTATCATTTTATGATTTATGAACGTACGAACGAATATAAGAAATAAACATTACTAAGGTGGATGGATGAACCGAACATCAAGAGACCTAAAACTATTCAAAATCATTTCCAATTGTCATTTCGTAGCTATTTTCTTTAAAAAGAAGTTATTTTTAATTTCTGTCTTTTTCAGTTTACGGCGTTTATCTATTTATTCTGTCATCTATCGAACCTTCATTAAAGCTTCTTTGTCGAAAGAAAAGTCGTTCCAATTCTGATCAGTGGTTTCCGAGATATTGAGCCTCAAAGTTTCCAAAAACTGACTCGATTCTTCCACTTGTTTTCAATGTTTTTTTCGCAATTTTCACAAATTTTTTCAGGTCGCTTATCTCTTTCGGGGTCTACATTGAGTGTCGAACAACTAATAAAAAGAATGGAACGCCTATTGTTGATTCTTTTATTCACTTGTATTCGGGGAAATTTTCTACAATCGGATAACAGAACTACGGTACAATGTGCATGTGATGTTGACACTGTAACAACAAATACCACTACTGACACCAACAAATCAACTGAAGTGATTAAAAGACTAATAAATGTCAAAATATTTTAACGATTGAGCAGTAGACTGTTGTAGGCGTCACAACAAAAAACACGTCAAATAAATAAATCAAAATTTACCAGTTCAGTAGTGCATTACATATCCGCTACATGCTCTGAGCAATTTAGTTGTCACTCCGAAATACCATAAGTCTGCATGTGTGTGTGTGTGTGTGTGTGTGTGTGTGTGTGTGTGTGTGTGTGTGTGTGTATTATTTATTCATTCATTCATTCATTTATTTTGTGCATCTTATCGTTAATTCGTGCATTACTTCATTCTTTTATGACTACTTAGATATTTATTTATCTGTTTACTGTCATCTCTCTCTCTTTCCCTCTTTCTCCTTTTCTTTCTCTCTCTCTCTTTCTCTCTCTCTTTTTTTTTCTCTCTCTCTCTCTCTCTCTTTCTCTCTATGGCTTGTTTGTGTTGTTGAGTATATGTTAATACATAATCTACCCACTCAATCTTTCTCTCTCTCTCTCTCTCTCTCTTTCTTATCTTTCTTCTTTTCATTTCATCATGGCGTTTGTGAAAATTTTGTGTGATTTCATTTCTTATGTTGGGTAGTTTTGCTTCTGATTAAACTGTGTTTATGCAGCAGTGCCTTGTTCAAGTCGTGTCTCGCTCTCCTAGTGTTTTTGCTATGCAGTTGCGTGTGAAGAACAGCACAGGATTGCGTTTACGCCTGTCAAAAATTCGCAGCGCTCAATCTAGTTCATTTGTTAAATTCTGGGGGAGTGTCTTCGGCTGGTGATTAATCAATATAGCAATCGTTCATATATCTATTCATTCATTCATTCGGCTTTTAAAACGGGTAATTTTAAATCATTCGATATTAACCTTACAATGAAACCTTACGATTAACATTAATCATAGGAGGAAAATGACTACACACGCCAAATATTCCTCAGGTATTGTCTATCTCACTGAGTAAAGAAATTTGAGCACAAAGCTACGTCTGAATTGCACATAACTTAATACGCTTCTCGCCTAACCCGCAACAATCATGATCACATAAATCACCACAAGACATTTATATTGCAAAATATTTATCTGGAGTTTGTGTAATAAAAGAATAAAATATTTTATTGCGGGTACTTTTTTCTGAATTAAATAAACAAATAAATAAACCCATAAAATTTCATTTAGAAAGTTGATACGTGTGTTCGTGTGTAATGAATCATGCGCATGTGTGGATGTGTGTATATGATAGATAGTTGTATGTCTGAGTGTGTTATGGTCTGTTTAATTATTCATGTAAGTGTGTGTGTGTTTTTGTATATTTTTATGTTTTTTAATGTATTTTATATATTTTACATAAAAAAATTCTCTAAATACTTAGTATTCTAGACTGGCCATTTTTAGGTACGTTTCAACTACACACACACACACAAACACACACAGAAAGAGAGAGAGAGAGGGACATTAGGACGATAACTAACGATTATGCAATAGATTGTTATGTGATGTGAAAATTATTTGTTATTGCTTGTTGATTTGAAATGCAATGAGTTACCATTTATTTGCGTTATATATTAAACTATTGTGTTGTTTATGCCTCTATGCCTCTCTCTCTCTCTCTCTCTCTTTCTCTGTCTATCTCTCTTTCTTTCTTTCTCTTTCTCTCTCTCTCTCTCTTCATTCATTCAAACCAACCACACATCATTAGCAGAATGTTTTCATTTTCAATTTTGAATGTGATTAAAACGCCAATACATATATTAATTACTTTACCATGAAATGTGAAGCATTGTTTGTTTGTGTGTGTGTGTGTGTGTTTGTTTGTGTGTTTGTGTGCGTGCGTGTGTGTGGGTTTGAATGGTGAATAATAAATGAATGATGCGTGTCACAAATTGTCTAAGAGGAATTAATCTGCCCATGTCGTTATTAGTGGTCTTAGAAACGTGAAACTCATATAACACACACACACACGTACGCGCGCGCACACACACACCTATATCCACACACACACAAACACACACACACATACATTTATTTGATATTATAAAATCATGTTTGTTTGAGAATGTTTAATTTTAATTGCAAATTAACTATTATAAACACATACACGCACGTTCTCTCTCTCTCTTTCTTTTTTACTCTTTCTTTTTACTATTTTTTTTACTTTTTTTTTATTTCTCTCTTTCTCTCTCTCTCTCTCTCTCTCTCTTTCTCTCTCTCTCTTTTTCTTTTTACTCTTTTTTTTACTCTTTTTTTTACTCTTTATTTCTCTCTCTCTCTCTCTCTCTCTCTCTCTCTCTCTCTCTCTCTCTCTCTCTCTCTCTCTCTCTCTCTCTCTCTCTGTCTCTGTCCGTAAATTAGCAAATCAAATTAATGGACTAAATAGTTAGTTTATAATGACTTGTCAGGAAACAACAGCTATTCTAATGAGTTTTGTGTTGAAGGACAAGTGAAGTCACAAGGGGAGTCGAAAGCCCCGGCTTCAAATGCAAGCTCGCTCCGTATGAATATCAATCTATCAAGATTGCTAGCTTGAATGAATGATGAAGAACTAGTTCAATTAGTAAAGAATGAAGCTTAGCTATCTATAACGACGCATACATTATTTTCTTTACTTATCCAACTATTGTTACATTTATTTATCTTTCAACTTAAATTTGTTTGTCTAATTATTTTTAAAAAATATTTTTTCTTTTTCTTTGTAAAATGCTCATAAATACTTCAACGCTTATATACAAATGGTGGAGTTATAAATACGTTCCAAGTGAGCGTTTTTCCTGTGGCTCTGACGATAAAGAGCCTGAGAAACTTGCCATGGGCTGTGCCGTACCGTCCAGGTTCGACAAAAAAGACCAGATTATCACGTTTTACGATTACATGATGTAGTGTGTGCGTGTGTGTGTGTCTGCGTGTGTGTGTGTGCGTGTGTAAAGCGCTGTTTTTTACGTTTGAAACGTATTTCGATTTGATATCGGTTGAATATTTGAAAGAAAACGCCATTTAACATTACAAATTCATCGTGATAATAATGTATATAGATGAATAAATGATTGAATGAATGAAAGAGAATTGAGTGAATGAATGAATGAATGAATGGATGAATGAAGGAATGAATGAATGAATGAATCAATCAATCAATCAATCCTCTACAAAAAGGGAACGATCAGCAGTAAAAACTAATTTAATCATCCCAAAAAAAATTATTTAAAGCAAATTATATTAATTATTAATAATTATAATGAATAATATTATGGCTAAAATCGTCATAATAATATTTTGTGAAGCCATTCAGCGAGGCGAAAGCGTCAGAAATGTTTTCAGAAATCAATTAAATATGGGCGTGTTTTACTGATTTGGCTTAATCAGCGCTTCATAATTATCTTTGATAATTATGCACACACTCACACAAACATACACACACACATATATACACACATACGCACATACACACGCACACATACACTTATGTAGAGAAAACATTTTCACACACACATGTATACATAAATTTATCTTCACACATCTACAAACACACACACACACACATACAAACAAACAAGACAAACACACACACATACACACGCACCGATAAACACACGTACAAAAGATGATGCAATTATTAAAATAAACATAATTCTTATCTATTTAGAGATATTCTCTGACTGAAAGGTAAAAATTATCAAAACACACGCAGCATACAAACACACACACACACACACATTTAAATAATTTAACAGTAAATGCCTTATTAAACCGTGGCTCTATGCTATTCTTGTTACTGGTTAAAGTTACGTACAGTTAAATGTGATAACCTAATAATATATGATGGGAAATGTTGAAAATTATGTGTGTGAATACATGTGTGTGTGTGTGTGTGTGTGTGTGTATGTGTGTGTGTGTGTGTGTGTGTGTGTGTGTGTGTGTGTGTGTGTGTGTGTGTGTGTGTGTGTGTGTGTGTGTGTGTGTGTGTGAAATACAACAGTTGTTTATGTGTGCATATGTAGTATGTATATATAGTTAACATTAAAAAGTTATTGTGGTAATTTACATTGGAATAGAAGTATTAATTAAATAAAATACTGAATAGTAATTATTAAGATACTAATTGAGAAGTAGAGAGAGCTATATTTATTTTTAGCTATATTTATTTTTAGCTATATAAAATTTTCTTCTTCTACGTGTGTTTGTGTAAAGAACAAATCACAACACACTTGCCCCCGCGTAACTAGCTTACCTAATAATATCATAATAATAATAATAATATTAATAATAAAAATAATATTAATAATAAAAATAATAATAATAGCATTTCATGTCTGCTGCTAAATCAACATATTGTTACAAATTCAGCGCATTACCGAATAAATCAAATAAATCAATTACTCAAATTTATGTTTAACTGATTCACACTCACACGCACACACACACACACGCACACACACGCACACGCACACACATATTAATAATAAATAGGAATGATAGTCCCAGGGTTAAGAAATCTTTACGGTAAAAATGACGAATGATAGCCTGATTAACTGAACTGAAGGTTTCGTGGATTTGTCCAAATTAAAAATTACCAAGTGTGAAATGAGAGAGTCATTCATACAGTCTAGGACCGAATGAATGAATGATTGGAAAAATGGATGGATGGATGAATGGATGGAAGGATGGATGGATGAATGAATGAACGAATGAACGAATGAATGAATGAATGAAAGTTTAATGAATGAATGAAAACATACAAACGAACCAATGATTGAATGAATGAATGAACAAACGAACGAACGAATTAACAGATGAATAACACATATATCTTTATAATATTCGATATACAAACTAAAATGATGAATAGATTAATTTATAGTTTGTAATTCATTGTTGTCTTGTTATGACAAAATCTTCATGTATGTATGTATGTATGTATGTATGTATGTATGTATGTATGTATGTATGTATGTATGTATGTATGTATGTATGTATGTATGTATGTATGTATGTATGTATGTATGTATGTATGTATGTATGTATGTATGTATGTATGTATGTATATATATACATACAGACATACATGTTATATACATATATAACATGTATGTATGTATGTATGTACGTATATACATATATTTATATATTATACAGATTATTATAAAATGTATAGGAGCATGTGGTATAAATAGCCGATAATTTTATGAGATTTTTATATAAAGTTTCATCATTGATAAAAGTTTCAATTTTAAATACCTTTAGTAATAATAATAATAATAATAATTTTATTATTATTCATATTTTTTCGCTATTTATTTATTTGTAAGATTTTGGTTAGCCTGGATAATGAAGCTGTTCGTCGGGGCGGTTTGCTTCGCGGTCGTCAGCCTCCTATCTGGTTTGGTCAATTTTCCGTGACTTCTCTTATAACTTTCTCTTTAAGTAGATAAAATCCATTAAACGATGATATCATTATTGTTTGTTTGGTTTGTTCGATAGCTATCAAATTTGGCTATCCGTACCTCTATCATCGTCATCGTCATCACCATTATTATCTCATCATCATCGTCGTCGTCATCATCATAATTATTATTATATTATATTATGTTATGTTATATTATATTGTATTGTTAACGTCATCTTAAACTTAATTTTTAAACTTCAAAAAGCATCAGCAGCTGGAATGGTGGACAACACTACCATCAGCAACGACAACATCAACACTACCAACAACATCAGCAACAACATCAGCAACAACAACAACAACACTACCAACAACATCAGCAACAACATCAGCAACAACATCAGCAACAACATCAGCAACAACATCAGCAACAACATCAGCAACAACAACAACAACACTAACAACAACATCAACAACAGCAACAACAACACTACCAACAGCAACACCAACGACAACAACAACAATAACAACAGCGAACTATCACCAATAAACGCCAATGACTACATGATATCACCACTCATAACTTTTTCATTCAAGCAATACAGCGCCACCATAGACCCTACCACCATTCTCGTCGCCACCATCGCTTCCACCGCTACCACACCTACCACCAACGACAGCGTTGTTTCCCACCCAGAAACCACCAACCTCCCTATGGCTCACGATACTATGGACAGCCCAGACTCTAGGGATAACTCTGGACCTCTAACTCACACTCCGAAATATGATGATGACGATGATGATGACCTCAACAATGATGATATTGATGATGGCGACATCAACAACATCAACAACAACATCAACAACGTCAAAAACATCAACAACATTAACAACATCAACAACAACAACAGCAACAACATCAACAACAGCAACAACATCAACAACAACAACAGCAACAACAACAGCAACAACAACGAACTACCAACCACAAACAAACATGATGAAACTGACTTAGTCTCTGTCACTGAATCTTTTCATCCTGTACAAGAAGAAATTGAACATACAACTGATAAAACTACAAAATCACCGTCTGAATCAACAACATCATCGTCTCTCTTCTCATCTCAGACGCTAGCTGGCACGAAAAACGAAAGAACCACACAAGAAACTAGTGAAAATATTTCGAAAGAACGAAATAACCCTAACCCTGACCTGACAACACCACGACAAACTACATCCGCGCCGGAAGAAGAAATAATTTTTGAGAACCGCAATGTATTCCTAGCTAACGGGAGTCTCAACGAAACCAGCACATCAATGTTATTCCTATCGGATAATAACATCACGTACAGACTGATAAACATCACTAAATTCTCTAAAAACGAAGTTATATTGATTGAATCAAGCCCATCAACAACAGCTGAAGAGACATTTTTTGAGAACGACTTTGTGTTTGTGAGCAACGCAGGTCTGACGGAGACAAGGGTCTTCATAACTGATGATAACATCACCTACACGCTGATAAACACAACTGCACCGTCCTCAAATGAAGATGGCGATGTACGGTCTGGATCAGCAGAAAATGAAACTTTTGATTTGACGATACGTAGAGCAGGCGGTGAAGAAACCTACAAGACAAACACCCATGTTAGTCCGTCAGCTCCATCTACTTCTAGAGAGCCAGTTGAAGAAATTTCGTCGTCGAGGTCTCAACCCTCGACAAGTTTCGAAACAGATCTGGTGAAGATGCGTGAGGAGGATGACTACATCGGCAGTCACTCAAAAGTTATAACTGAAGCCAGCGACGGTAAAAAAAACAACTTTTACACTACTTATATTTCAAAAAGTTTTGTCACTCTAGAGAAAGATGCATGGGGGGTTTACAAGCAGTTTACCAGTTTACCGTGGAATCCTACAATAATAACTTGTTATTATTGTGGGATTCCGATTCCATGAGTTTACACTATGTAAAGTTTTTCACTAATTCATATGATGAAACTGTCTCTCTCTCTCTCTTTCTCTTTCTCTCTCTCTCTCTCTCTCTCTCTCTCTCTCTCTCTCTCTCTCTCTCTCTCTCTCTCTCTCTCTCTCTCTGTACGTGGTAGTATATGTTAATTCGGTATTATCAAATTGAGGTTTACGTAAATTAACTGCAGCATGTTTATAAAAGCAGACAGAATCACTGATAGGCGTGTGATACAAAAACTCGAATGTACGTACTCTGTTTACGCGACCGAATGTAATTAGAGTTAATTGACTAATTGTTATTATTACTATTAATTATAATTAATGTTATCTATATCTCTAATTAATTAGATTAATTATTTTAAATTTATTTTATCTCGGGTCATCGTCGAACTTGCTATTGCTGGTATATCATTCCTTTTTGGAATTTAAACCATTAAAAATTTTATTTAAACTTCGTTTAAATGATTGATTTTTTAAAATTTAGCATAGAGTATCGTGTAGCAAAATTAAAACGTCTGATTCTGCTTTCTACTGCCAGCGCTCTTTAATTAATTCACCAGAATTTAAATAAGGAAATCCATTCACACAGTAAAACTACCACAGAATTCCTTTGATTATACAACCACACACACACACACACATACACACACACACACACACGCACGCACACACACGCACACAACATCCAGAAAAAAACTCCTTCACCATTGAAAACTCCACCCAAAAACCAGGCGACACATTAGAGCAGCCGGTGAATACACCCAACCAATCCAACAAATTTCTTTACTTGACGGCCACTGTCGTCGCGATCGTCGCTCTTCTTGTGGTTGTGGTGGTAGCCATTCGATTCTGCGAAAGGAGGTCGGGCGTCATTACATCTGAGAGGCCAGAAATTTCATTCAAAGATGCCGAAGCGAACATGCTGAGCAAGGCCAAGGAGAAGCAGGTTCCTGGAGAGGAAGTTTATTTGCTGAATGTTAAGTCGTTGAAATGAACGATGAATGAACAAGTGAGTGAATGGATGAATTATTAATGGATGAATGAATGAATAAATGAGTGAGTGAGTGAATGAATGAATGAATAAGTAATCGAGTGTGTGAATGAACTGGTGAATGAGTTAGAATTATGATAATTCGTTAAACGTCAAGTCGCTGATAAGAAGATAATTATGATGATGATGATGACGATGATGACGATGATGACGATGATGAAGATGATGACGACGACGACGATGATGATGAAGATGATGACGATGATGTTTAATGTCATTTAATTAGCTGTTTCTAGTAACCAAGAATTTTTTTCATAAGCTCTTAGTAATTTATATTAGCATCTATATACAAGTATTTACTATATATACATATATATATATATATATATATTTATTTATGTGTGTGTGTGTCTGTCTGTGTGTGTTTGTGTGTGTGTCTTGTATTATAACAATGTATTTATATATTTATTCAAATATTTATTTATCAATTCAATAATTAAAGTTTTAAAATAATTTTGCAAAGTTCAATAAGCGTTTACAAGTTTTATTGATATGTACCTATTAGACATAGAGTATTGGTGTGTGTAGTGTTCTTACATTTGTGTGTGTGTGCGTGTGCGTGCGTGTATGTGTTTGCGTGTGTGTGTGAGTGTGCGTGTATGTGTTTGCGTGTGTGTGTGCGTGTGTGCGTGTGTAGGCGTTAATGCTTTAATTTATATTTTATACAATAATTCCAGTATTAAATAGCCTGGTGAATTATGTGATATCGTTAATATGTGAATTATGAATTATGGATTCTATGTTTTATTGTTGATATATGAATTATGCAATCAAAAAAGTATGAATTTATTTTTTCGTTGTTACTACCATTGATATGATGTGTTAGCTATGATGGGGCATTGATTTAATGAATCTGTTTAGTTAACAAAAATCTTCTCTCTGTCAATACATTTAGTGTGAAAGCGCTGTTCTTTCATTATAAATCCGGGTTTGAGTCAGGTTTTTTTGATGATTAGAACGGTGAATTTGAAGATTCAATATTTGTGAGTTTCAAGATAGATTTGGTGGGTTTGAAGGAAGGTTTATGAAACTGAACGTATGATTTGTAAATTTTGACGAATCAATTAAAAATTTAAACGTGAAATTTTTAAAATATACTGAAACCATGAATTGTTGAGACTTTACCACAACTACCACTACTACTGTTACTACTTACAGCTACTACTACTACTACTACTACTACTGCTGCTGCTGCTGCTACTTCTGCTACTACAAGGGCCTACGTGATGAATAAATACTATCTATCAGCATTATCTTATCGTCTTTATATCTTATCATTTCTCAAATTTCAATTGAAATATCTTTGATCCATTGAAGTTATCCTGTAAAAGAATTCATTCTTTCGTTTTGTTTTAAATAATTTTTATTTATTTTTTCATCAAATTAAACTTGAAAGATGAAAATTTTATGCAATGCCTACTTTTTATGATCGATGAGAATTTATTCATGCACAATTCATACATGAATTTTAATTGGTTTATTATTTATTCAATTTTGTTGCTTATTTTACAGCGTTTGTATATCTGTTTGTGTCTGCGCTTCAGTTTGTTTGTTTGTGTCTGTATGTGTATTTATTTTATACAAGATGCTGGTTCGAATAAAAATTCATCGTCTGTGTGTTTGTCTTAATTTTCGCAAAACTAAAATTGAAAATATTAATGATTAATAACATGAAATTTGGGTAGTAGTAGAAGTAGCAGAAGCAGCAGTTGTAGTCGTAGTAGCAGCAGTAGTGGCAGTATTAGTTGTAGTAACAACTCAAGTAATAATTCAAACTATTGTAATTTATTATCAGTAGTATAGAGACATGTAACTTTGTAACTCAATCATGTTTTCTTAGAAAAAAGATTGTCTCGAAGCAAAGAAACGCGCGCGCACACGCACACACACGCACACACACATACACACACACACGCACACATATTAATATATATACACACATACGAACATGTACACACCAGACAGACACAGAAATTATACGAACGCACATACACACACTCGTGTTCCTAATTTAAATATAAATCTTCTGATTTCTGATCTGATTCGACAATCATCAATGAACACAAACATACATACATACATACATTCTCACATACACATACACACACGTACACACACATATATACACAGATATACATACACATATTTACTTTCATACAAATATATGCTGGTTACTAAAAGGCAGAAATTGTATGGCCTATATGACAAAAGACATTTTATGTGATGTTTCATAATGGTACATGATTATATGAAACTTTTCATACAAAAAAACATACATACATACATACATACATACATACATACATACATACATACATACATACATACTTCTTTTTATTTTTTCCAGCTCGATCAAAGATGAGATCACCAAACAGTGGATTTTGATACAAGAATTGTTAATAATCAAATGAAAATATAATACAATAGTATAATTAATTACTTATATTTATGTAATAATGATTAATAATATTATTTTTTGAAATAAAAATAGCTTTTTTAGTCTAAAATAATCCTTCCATCTTTAAATATTCTAAATATTCTTATCACTTCATCAGCAAAAAGTTAACAACGATGATGATGATGATGACGATGATGATGGTGATGATGATGATGATGGTGAACTTGGATAGCACTGCCTCCGGTAATTATTACGATAACTGTTAATATTTTTCTAACTATTTATTAATAATAAACTCACGTCCGTTGTCATTGGCTTATATTATGATGTTATAATAATAATAATAATTACTATTATTATAAAAATATATTTAGAAAATATTTTTTCATTTCATAGCCGTTGTAAGCAGTGGAAATATGGATAGATCTGTGAAAATTGTAACGAGATCACACAAATGGGTGTCTGAAGAAAATAATAATAATAAAATTATTAATAATAATAATATTAATAATAATAATCAAAAATCTATAGCGATAAAACGAACTAACAACATCAATAACAACACCAACAACAACAACAATCCCAACAACAACAACAATTTCAACAACAACAACTATTTCAACAACATCAACAACAATCCCAACAGCAGCATCAGCAATCGCAAACACAGTCGTAGCCCAAACAATTACAAACTCATTCCGACTCTTACATTCAAACCGAGAATTTCACCAGCCACAACAACAACAAAAACAACAACAACGACAACAGCAACAATTAAGCAACAACAGCAAACAACACTAACGGACATACATACCCTCCCAACAACAAAGAGTTACACAAACGTGTGGATGACTGTTTCAACAAACTCAACAGCAACGACATTGTTTAAATACATCAGAAATGATTCTCACCATCAATATAATAAGTATTTCTTCGTTTTTATTTTAATTATTTTAATAATATTTACATAATAACAAACAAAAATCCATCAATTTATTCAGACTTCGACATTTAAACTCGTCAAAATCAACAAAATTGGATCGAAATCTCTCAAAAATCAACGTCCTAGAAGCGAAAAATGAGGATTTTATAACTTTAGAACTAACATCCGCCAATGTTCTCAAAATATCATGGCCAACTAACTTCAACAACAAAAACAACGACAACAACAACATCAACAACAACAACAACAACATCAATAACAACAATAACTATAATAATAACGAGGATTATCATCAAGATTATCAAAATCCCGCTAAAAATTCCGCTAAAAATCCTGGCTACAGGAATTTGAAACAATTTTCGCAAGATCAAAAGTATAAAATCTACCTTCCTAAAAATTCTGGATCCGGTTTTGAAATGGGATCTACGGAATCTCACGGATCAGGCTCTCATGGATCTGTGGTATCTCAGGAAGTTTCGGGATATGTATATATTCTGTTGAAAGATGAGGCGGACAGCGGCTTAGATTGTGGAAGAATTAATAAGACGTTATCTCTTAAAAATGATTGTCTGATAAGGAGATACGAGGTACGTTATCGGTCAGTCGGTGGAGTTTCAATTAAAAATTGAAACTATGTGTTATTGTCACAAATTGTTTTTATTTTCGTCGTCGTCATCTTCATCGTCTGTGTGTTTGCCTTATTTTTTGCAAAAACATTGCACGCACACACACACACATAAACACGTACACACATACACATATACACGTACACACATACACACACTCACACACAAACACACACACAAATACAGAACTGTCAGATCAAATTCAACGAGAAGAAGCCAGTCCATATTTGCTCGTACGTCTTCAACATTTCGACCTCAAAGTATGAACCAGACACCGGTTCTACCAGCAAAACACATGAAAAGTTGAGAACATTTGGGAGATATACGAGTGTGAACGAAGTGTTGTTTCAATTGTTGCAGACGCCGAATTTTGCCGATCGGATGAATCTAGTTGAGGAAACTGTAGTCACATTTGAAGGTAGCCACTGGTGTTGTTGGTGGCTGTATGGTTTAAATGGCTCCTATTTGTTGTTGTACGTGGAAGAATTATGGTTAAAAAAAATTATGAATTAATAGTGAAGAGAAAAAGAGAAAGAAAGAGAGAATAAGAGAAAGAGAGAGAGAATGAAATTTCACAATAATTGAAAAACAGTAAGCTAGCAAAAACATACAAAACAGAAAAATATTTTTAATTTGTTTAGAATTTGCCATCGAAACAAAAGGCAGGAGAAAGAATTCAGTTTTTTGTTTGTTTGTTTGTTTGTTTGTTTGTGTTTTTTTGTTTTTTTGTTCAAGCGGGCACGCACCTAAAAAATTTAAACATATCCAAACAATGAGAAATTAAAAAGTTGCCTAAACAATGAACAAAAGACTAAGGAACAGCAAACAAACTCAGAAAAAAGCATCAAAAAGTAGACGAAGTTTGTCGAAAAAAGACTAAAAATAAAAAAAACACAAACAAACGAATATCGATTCAAGAGAGAGAGAGAGAGAGAGAGCGAGGAAAACAAACGAATTTTCGCAAATGTCACACACACGCACGCACGCACACGCATACACGCACACGCATACACGCACACGCACATGTTTCATTCAGATCGCCAGCCAGTTAATATATTTAACTGTTCATGGTTGGACCACCATAACAGAGCCGGTGACCTTGACCTTTCCAGGGTCAACACCTTCACTTTTTCCCATTTCGGGGATTTCCTGAATGTCACGTGTCATCTCGGCGGGAAACCAAAAGTGGAGTTAGTAGAGAACAGTGCTGATGATGATGACGACGATGATGATTGTGACGTCATTCGCATAATAACATCGCCATAATTAAATCATAAAAATTATAATGTTATCATCGCGATTACGTCATCGCCACGTCGTATTAATAATAATAATAATAATAGTAATAATAATTATAATAATGTAATAATAATAATAAAAATATTAACGATGATGATGATGATGATGTACAGACCCATGAAAGCTCTTTAGCATCAAATACGTCCTGTTATTTATTCTGTTTGCATTTAATCTGCCCAAAATATAAAACATACTATCATCATCGTCGTCATCATCATCATCACCACCATCATCGTCATCATCGTCATCATCATCTTCATTCATTAATTGACATCACAAGCAGCTTCATTAATTAACTTTTTTGCAGTATTGTTCTCTGTAGACATACATCATCATCATCATCATCAGCAGCAGCAACAGCAGCAGCAGCATCTTCATCGTCGTCATCATCGTCGTCGTCATCATCATCAGTGTTTTTGAACAAAGTAACAGCAGCTATGGAGGTTGATGGTGGTAATTGTCTTGTTTATCGAGCTAGCAGCACGAGAGCCATCAAGCATCTAGCAGCTAGCTCAACGGAAAATAACATGCCATTATTATCTGAAACATCGTCGTCGTCATCGTCATCATCATCATCTACGTCATCGACGTTTCTAAAAATAGAAAAAGATGTGATCATCATATCTTTCAATCCCATCTCGAGCGAGCAGCATGCGGGAAGATGGAGTTTGACGGTCGAGAATGAATGCTCTCGACTTCAGGCAACTTTTCTTAACTTCAAAATTGCAGGTAACCAGAATTAATATAATTATTATTTAAATAATAATAATAATATCATTAATAATAATAATAATAATAAAATGCTGATGAAGATGGTGGTGGTGAAGATGATGGCGATGACTGATAATACTGATGATGATAGCGACGGTGATCTAATTAGCATAATTTATTAATTTATTCGAATTTTCTGCCCAGAACTTCCGCCATTCACTGAAAATGATGGATGGACCGTTAACGTAGAAGCTGGACAGTCCACTAAAATTTTGTGCAGGTAGCGATGATGATGACGACGACGATGATAACTCTTGGATGACAAATATATACACTCTTACGAGTTAATGATACACATAAACACACACACACACACACGCACGCACACACATACACAGACACACACACGTACATAAACACACACACACACACACACACAGATATTTAGGTGGTCATACTGACCAAGTTCAATACGAATGGAAGAAGTTGAAGGACAAAAATGACCCCCATCCACAGCCAGTCATGCTAAACCAAAGAATCAAACTTACCTACGATGGTTCGAAACATTTCTATTACAATTATTATATTATGCTTAAGGGGCTCAAGGGGAATGTTTCTTAAAATAATTTAAACAATTCATAATTTGTCATAATTATCCATAATAATTAACCATAATTATGCATAATTAAACTCAGGTTCTTTAGTTTTCGTCAGGACCTCAAGAGATGACGAAGGCATGTACATGTGTGGCGTTCAGCATGTCGATGTAGACATAGGAGCGCAGTTTGGGAGCATTTCAAAACTTTCAGTTTCTGGTCTGTTCTACATATCTTTGGATTTGGTATTTTGGTAAAAATTATTGATAAATTATACATAATTACAGGTAATTATAGATAATTATAGAAAATGATATATATATATATATATATATATATATATCAAAATATTGTGTATAAAATAATTATTAATCCTTGAAGGCACGTCAAAGTATAGAGATCCAACTCCTCCAAAACTGATTCACCATAGCAATCCAACGATTTTTGTTCTCGCGGGTCAGACCGCCTCCATGCAGTGCCTATTCGTCGGAAGGTTTGACAAATTTTTCTTATTTTTTCATCTTTCATTTTCAATAACTCAAGAGTGAATATTCCATAAACTCCACAGCCGCATATTTACCTTGAAACAACCGAAAATTTTGCTTGTACTTTCACAGTCCAAAGCCGAAAATTTCATGGACAATCCCAAACAAGCCTATCACCACAAGCCGTCTTACTACTACAACCACTACAAGTAAGGTGACGTCAATCTTTAAAAACCATGGTGACGACGACGACGACGATGATGGTGGCGATGGTGGCGACGATGACGGCGACGAGATGGTTATAGATAGAGTGGGAATGGAAGATGAAGGCAGGTACACGTGCTACGCGGAAAATGTTGAGGGCAGAATTAAGGGTGTGGATTTCAAACTTGTTGTTGCTGGTAGGTTGACTTTTTCTATATAATTTTTTTCATAATGTTAGCTTTTCCAAAGTTTGATTCAGTTTTTATTGGCTTGTTGATGTGTAATGTGTGAAAGATTTGTGTTAGCTTGTGACGTGTTTGTGTGTGTAAGTGTGTGTGTTTGTGTGTGTGTTTGTGTGTGTAGACGTGTGTTTACGTTTATATACATCTGTATTGTATATGTATCTTGAGAAATTCAATTAAAACAACGATTTTTCTCCAAAAAAACAAATAAAAATGGACATTTTTAACTAGAAATTCCCAGATTTATTGAAGAATTGCGACCGCAGATCGCCAGAGTGGGTCAAAACGTGATGTTTAAGGTTGTAGTAACGGGCAAACCCCTGCCACAGATCCAGTGGCTCTTCAACGGCAGAGTCATCACCGGCGATAATTATGGTAAAACATTTTCGATAATAATTTTCCATAATTGTTTTCGTATTTAAATAAAATGGTATCAATAATCATTTGATGTATTTTCATTTTCTCATTTCATTGAGAGTCAGCGCGATGTCATTATCATCTTAATTGGTTTAACCTACTAGGAAATGTACTTAAATGAAGAAATAATATTTATAATAATTATTTATAATAATAATTATTATTATTCATAATAATTATTATTATTTATAACAATTATTATTTAGAATAATTATTATTATTTTCAATTAGCTTCTGAAACAATAATAACATCAACAATTGCACTGGAGAAGGTGACGGCCGACCATATTTCAACCGTCAAATGCGACTGTTTTAATTCAGAAGGAAGGGTTTCTAGTTGGGCAACTCTGAACGTTTACGGTAAAAAACATGAAAATAACAAATTATTATTGTAAATTTAATTATAATTTATTTTTTTCACAATAATAATACATTTATTAATTCATAATATTTATATTTGACAGAAAATCTGACCGTAAAATCGCCATTGGATGATGTCCACCTACCTACACAGACTCAACACGTTCCTAACTTTCTCAGCCTAGGGTGTTCGTTCTCCTCTGATAGGTACCTACCAGTTAAAATTGATTGGTTCTTGAGGAAGAGGTCCAGGCAGATTACGAAAATTGAAGATATTATATACAGTGGTGGGGATTTGTCTTCAGTATTTACGATAACACAGTCGCAAAGTCTTCTTATAAATCTGTCGAAACTTAAACAGCTTAATAGGAGGAGGAAATTAATTAACCTTGTGCCACCTGTTGTAAATAATTACGAAGATGATGACGTCATGTATGCTGACGACGACGACAACGATGATGATGTTTATGGTAAAATTTTCGGTACCTACTACTGCAAAGTAAATGATTCCATCCAAGTTATCGAGTCTTCGGTAAAAATTTCAAAGTTAAATTTAACCCTAAGTAATAATAGTAATAATAATAAGTTACTAGTTTCTCAAAATTTCAACAAAAATACAACCGCAGTAGCAGTAGCAGCAACTACTACAGCTGCTGCTTCTTCTACATTATCAACCAATGTATTAAATATACTGGGTGATGAAGATAGTATTAAAATGGCTGCCGATCCTACTGGCATTAACACTAATAGTGAAAATTTTGTAAGGACGGGCTATTCTGAAACTTTACCTGATGAAAATTACGCTTTGGAGGAATCGGATATGACGTCATTGCCATCATCAACGTTCTTTGTGGCTGAGAGTGTGGATGTTAAAAATGTTAAAGGTAGTGTTAGTCAGACTGAAGACTGGAGGAGCATACTGAAAGATGGTTATATTTTTTTAAAATATTTTTTTGAAATAAATTTCTTTAAAATAAATTTATTTTCTACGTCTAAGCTTAAGTCCGTTCATTGCAATTGCAGCCAGGCATTTCAGCCATAACTCCATCAAAATAAAAATAAAAAATTACTAGTTTTTCAAAATTCCAACGAAAATACAACAGCAGTAGCAGCAACTACTACAGCTGCTGCTGCTACTACCAATGTTTCACAGATACGGCTTGGATGTTGTCGCTGCTTTCGATTATTTTCCTCGCCGTCCTCATCTTTGCAACTGTCTGCATCGTTCGGAGGAACAGGCAAAAAAAAATAAGAGCTCTAGAAAGTGCGAAAGTTGTTACCTGTTGGTAAAATTGTTTTTCAATAGTTCGTTATAACTATTTAACAAAGATATTATATATAATTAAATATAATCCATAATTAAACCTGCACAAAAAGTTTCAGAGCTAAGCCAGTCAGCTCTGAGACGTAAGCAAAGGTTATCGAGATTAGGAATCAGTGCATCTTCTGATAGGAAAACAACATTTGCACACCTTAACAGCATGACAGAGGCGGGCTTCTATGACGACTTGCTGGAGATGTATGTTGCAAGAAGTCTCATACAACTCGGAGAATGCATTGGGATAGGTAGATCTCTCTCTCTCTCTCTCTCTCTCTCTCTCTCTCTCTCTCTGTGTGTGTGTGTGTGTGTGTGTGTGTGTGTGTCTGTGAGTGTATGTGTTATTTTTATGAAAAATGAGAATTGATTTCTTAAAATACATAAGGTCAGTTCGGTCGCGTGTTCAAGGCCAGTTTACAAGACGAACAAACGAAGTTGAACACCCGCGTTGCAGTTAAGACTATGAAATGTACGTGCGTGTGTGTGCGTGCGTGTGTGTGCGTGTGTGTACGTACCTGTGTGCGAGTGTGTGTGTGCCTGTGTGCGAGTGTATGTTATAATGTTGTTCGAAAGCTGTTAAGGGACTGTTGGCGTCATTTTTATAACAAGCATTGATTATGATCGTACCATATCGTATCACATCGTATCCGTATTAAACATTAGATGCACACAGACAAACAAACAAGCAGACAAACAAACGAACGAACAAACAAACAAACAAACGAACGAACAATTATTACACATCAACAACAGCAACAGCATATTTTTAAAAATGTTTGTTTTTACATCCATCGAAAATCATCGAAAGACAAACCTGAAGAGACAGAAATGGCGGAATTATTCCTAAGGGAGGCAGCTTTGATGAAGGGTTTCAAACACGCGCACGTTCTTGGGGTCATCGGTTTGACCTTTGACCCTGACGGAAGCCCCATGGTCATCCTGCCCTACATGGCGAACGGGGATATGAGGAATTATATCATGAACAGTCAATTGGTGCGCGTGCTTTATTTCAATTCTTAACATTCATACGTCATATATAGATATAGAGCAAAATGTAACAAAAATTTCTTTTCATAGCACATAACGGTGTACGAGCTGTTGAAGATGAGCTTGCAAGTCGCTTACGGGATGGTCTACCTGTCGAACATTCGATTCGTTCACAGAGATCTAGCTGCCAGAAACTGCATGTAAGTGACATTCTTGTCATTATTATAGCTATCATTATGGTTATTATTAGTTGTTGTAGTAATATAGTTGTTGTAATACAACGGCAAACACGGAAAAGTTATTCAAAATGACTTAACGATTTAACTATGGTACCTTCTAGCGAAATATTCTTTCGGAAATCTTCTTCAAAATTTCGTCATTAAAACAGACATGAGATGAATGTGCCATCATATTTTTTAAAGGGTCGACGAGCGAGGCGTCGTGAAAGTGGCAGATTTTGGCCTTTCACGGGAGCTCATGGTGAGAGATTATTACAGGCTGTGCCACAATAAAACGCCCGTCCCCGTCAGATGGATGGCCCTCGAATGTCTCGAGGCCAATGTCTTCACCACAATGAGTGATGTGGTTTGTGTCTGTCTGTCTTTCTGTCTGTCTGTCTGTCTATCCGTCCGTCTGTCTGTCTGTTGTGTGTGCATTTATTCTGTGCAATAGAAAAATTTTTGTTAATTCTTTCGGTATTAATAATAATAATAACCAAATGCACAGTGGTCGTTCGGGATTTTGTTGTGGGAGTTGTTGACGCGTGGCAGCGTGCCTTACACGGATCTTGAGAACTGGGAAGTGGCCAGTAGCGTGCAGAAAGGTGCGCGTCCCTCTCAGCCCTCCTACTGTCCGGATTGCGTGTATGACTTCTTGCTTTTTAATATTTGAATTAATTTGTCATGTGTGTGTGTGTGTGTGTGTGTGTGTGTGTGTGTGTGTGTGTGTGTGTGTGTATTTTTTGTATAAGCTCAATTCACGTTGTTTTGTAGTCAATTGTAATGCAAAAGGCATTTAAGACTCCTTGAAACGCTTTTTAAAAACTTCTTTTCAAGCCATTCAAATATATCACCGTACGTCACAGCTACGTCATAATGCAGAGCTGCTGGAACAGTGATCCGAACAGGCGTCCAAACTTTCAACAATTGGCTGACGAGATCGAATCAATCATTCAATCAGCATCGGTCCTTGAAAAATCCATCCAATCAGCCTCGACTGCTGAAAAAATCGTCCAATCAACGTCGACTATCGAAAAAATCGTCCAATCCTCGACCTGCTCCACGCCCACGGGCGCATCTTGCAGGTCGCCATTGTACGATAGTTCCAGTGAAAATAATGTTCTCAATACATTTGGAAGGAAGAAAAAAATCGATCGAGACGAATTAGAGTTGAAACTATTACCAGAATGACTTGCGAAACAATAACTTTCATCATCTTGTCTTTTTATTTATAGTATTTATTCGTTTTTATACGTTCAAAAACCACAATGATTGTTACGAATATTTAAACAAGTAGAATCAAGAATGAATTTAAATATTAAAATTTTTGTTCAAATTAAAAATAACTATGATGAAGAGAATAACATCCAAATAAATCAACAATAAACGTTTAAATATACATTTCCGACACTGCTTAACTTGCTTTGATTGCCAAAGGTTTGTCTCGTCATTTTCTGCTTCTTTCGTTCAGCTTTCTTGTCAAAAATCAACAATTTTCCATTCTGACCAGTAGTTTCCGAGATATTCCGCCTCAAAGGTTCCAAGAACTGACTCCCACTTTCCCACAGCTTTTTCAAGGTTTTTTTTTCAAATTTTCCACCAGTTTTTTCAGGTTGCTGATCCGTCAATAATGATGCTGAAATTGGTGATGGCAATAGGGGTGAAGTTGTTGATAACAACGGGGAATGAAGTTTTACAATGTACTACCTGAATGTTTTCATCCATTAATTATAAATCATAATGGTAAATTAAGCATGTGATAAAACCGACAGATGAATTTTATACTGATTTTTTTGTCTTTTTTATAAATATATGAACTGTCATGTCAGCCATTTATCCAATGCTATTTAGATTGAATTTTAGTGCTATTCAAACACCTGCTGCAACTAATTGTTAATTTATATTGTTATCATTGCAATGTATGTTTTCGACGTAACAAAAAGTGAAATAAAAAGCACTTTTTTGCAATTTATAATTAGTTATCATTATAGATAATTAAATTAACATGATCTTTATTCTAGTAATATTTATACTTTCATTTTCAAGTGGCTATCTAAAAGCTGAAGGTTGATTTGATTTTCTTTTATTTTTATATTTAATTTTAAAATTTAAACTAAATAAAAATAAAACTAACAACTTTATTTTTTAAATTTTTATATTTAAAATGCAAATTTTGAATCCAATTGCATAACAGTTCAATACTGTGATTCCAAAAGTTGTTCCATATCTACCACTATCTCTATGAATGACATCCAAGAACCTAGAAACTATGATGTCACTAAAATTCAAACACAAGGTCCAGAAACAATCAATGTCCTAATTACTTTCAGTAACGCAGTTCATAACTTTGAATTGCATGACAAGTTCAGGTTGACAGTGGGCTCAATGTTCAAGCATACAAATGCACTGATCAATCTTTATATACTTAGTGATGATGAAAGCAGAAAGATTGCAAATGATCTGGTAGATGAAGTAGTCACAAAAGAATCAAAATTTAAAGTTTGATTTTATTTTTATTATGTAACAAGTTTTTTAATGCTTAGTAATAATTCAACACACAACATCCATCTACTTTAAATTTAAAAAAATTTTACATTAACTACTTCTTTTTTTTTATCTATTCAAAATAATACCATAAAATTAAATAAAAATCCACAAAGATTAAAGAATTAGACATTGAAGATGCAATCAACAGCATGAGACCGACAATTGAATCACTACAAGAACACTTTAGTCCAAAATCATCTGGTTCCTACTACAGCCAAGCTTTATTTTTTCTCTCCCCAATCCTGCATAGAATCCTGAGTGACGCCATAGACAAAATAATAATGCTGGACTCAGATCTAAAATTTCAAGATGACATTTTAAATCTCTATCGACATTTTGATAACTTTGAAGATGATAATGTGATAGGAATAGCAAGGGAACAGCAGCCAGTCTACAGGCACACGTTTTCGAGTTACAGATTGAACCATCCAGGTACAACTGTAGGAGAGCCTCCTCCCGATGGCCTCACTGGATTCAACAGTGGAGTTCTGTTGTTAAACCTATCAAGAATGAAAAAATCTCAGTCGTATAATAATCTCCTGAAATCAGATGAACTAACAAAGTTAGCAATTGAATTTAACTTCCGGGGACATTTAGGTGATCAGGATTTTTATTCTTTAGTTTCTATGAAATATAAATCTTTATTCTATGTTTTACCGTGTCAGTGGAATAGGCAGTTGTGTCGATGGTGGAGAGAGCATGGCTATAAGGACGTGTTCGATCTTTATTTTGATTGTCCGGGGCATATTCATTTATATCATGGTAACTGTAATACCCCAATCGAGTGATTGAATGAATAGATGCTGGATGGGTGAAGGAAAGTCTGAGTGAATTAGTAGATGAATGATTGATTGAATTATGAGCTGTTTTGTTTCAGGCACTAGTCAACAACTGATTTCGTTTCTACATCTACATTTTTCAAATTGTAAATTTTTTCTTGAACATATTAAACAAGTTTTTTAGTTTTACTTGATAACTTTCAAACAGGAAAACAAAATAATAAATTTAATTTTTTACAAGCATGCCCGAATTAACAAATAACCACGAAATCAAATACAAATAACGCAACGAGCCAATCAAATTCAGACATCAATTCATACAGCCACTCAAATCTGAGTATCTTTTTCGAACAACTAATCAAATTTACGGACAATTCAGACAGCCAATCAAATCGAAACATCTATCCAATCAGGCAGATACACTTCCGACTTCAAAACTGGAATCTAAATTTATAAGTTGGTTGATTGATTCGGACAGCTCGCTTATTGAAACTCGACCTTTCAATCAAAAATTTAATCAACCAATAGCGTACTCACTCTATCAACCAATTAAATCATTTAACCAAAAAAAATCAACGAATCAGAGGAGAGACTGGCCCACCAACCTCTTTGATTAATGAACTTGGCAACGGCTTCATACTCTTGCTGGCTGATGTATATGAACTTCCCTCTGTCATCCATTACACCTTCAACCAATCATTCATTCAACCAATCATCCATACATTTAACTAATCATTCACTCATTTATTTAATCATGTATTCACTCTTTCGAGTATTTATTAACTAAGACACATTCACAACAATTGCATTATAAACACAGCTAACCTGTTAGAAAACCATCATTTTGAAGACTTTTAACACGATCGATAACATCCTAAAAGACAAATTAAAATGAATTGGTGGATTGATAGAATGAAAAAATGATTGTATATCGTATATATTTATATATATATATATAATTATATATGTTGGTAATAGACCATAATTTTTACAATATTCTATAAATTCTACCGAACTATCTAACGCCAAACATTCGGTAGAATTTATAGAATATTGTAAATAACTATATATATATACTTGAGTTTTTATTTGAAATTTGGAAGCCAAATTTTCAAGCATGACAACTTTGGTTTTCTGAAAATTTGAAAAAAAGAAATTTTTCATGAAATGAGTTTGTTAGTTTGTGTGTTTGAGCGCGTGCTTTATGCGTTAAATTTTTAGTTAAAATTCAAAAAAAATTTTGGTTGTCAACCTTGATGTAATTGACAAATTCATGAAGAAGGTTTTGAGCCTGTTTTGAAAATTAAAAAGAAAGATTTGCTAGTTGATTGATTGTATTTTTCAAAGCAGCCTCAATCAGTAAATCAATTCATTCAATCACTAATTCATTCATTCATATACCAAATCAATCAGTCAATCAAGCAACTAGTCAATCAACAAACCTGGTCTTCTTCCATAGCATCTGTGCCCTCTCCTTCAACCTCAAACATGACTTTCATCTTCTCATATTCCTCTTGTTCTTTCCTCTTCTTTTCCAGCCTTATCTCTTCTTCTCTGGCTGCCTTGATTAATTAATTATTAATTAATTAATTTATTTATTTATTCATTTGCTCACTAAACCAATCCCAAAAAAGATACAAACATATACAATACAGAAATACTATAAAAGATCCAAAAATTAAAAAATATACAATATAAAACAAGATACAGAAATACTTACTTGCTCTTCCTCCTCTTGTTTTTTCTTCAACTCAGTTCTCTTCCTTTCTTCTTCCCTCATTTCAACTCTTGCCTTCTTATCTCTCCTTTCTTGCTCCATGGCCTACAATTTCAGATAAAAATTATTATAACCTAACTTATGTTAAAAGTGTGTATAACTATTGTGCTATAAATCTTTTATGGCCGTATAAAGCCGTTATTCTAATGACAATATCATCATTATAATATATAAAATGAGTAAGTTGAATAATGAAAAACCTCTCTTTGAGCCTTTTTTTCTGCTTTTTCTTCAAGTTTTTTCAATTTTTTGGCCCCAACTTTGCCCATTTCTTTCAATGTTTCTAGGTCATCAGCATTGCCAGTATTTCCATCACCATCCTCATCTTGAGAAGTAGAAATGATTTTAATGAGTTAGAGTCTAAAAATATGTAACAGTAGAAAGTTTCATATAGAAAATCCTCTCAAATTTGAGGATAAGAATTTGTTTGAGCAATAAATTAAACATTAACAATGAATTTAAAATGGTTTAAAAATAAAAACTGGGAAATTTTAAAAATGAAACTTCTGTAATTATTTCTCTCATTTCCGTCATCCTCTTCGGAAAGGTTATCATTGTTATTGTCAGCTGCAAGCAATCTCTGTCTCAATCTTGCCCTGGCCCCACCCCTCATAACAACTCGTTGCTGATTGGCTGGCCGGTTAATGGCATTTGTTGCCGGTGATGCTGCTGGCTTCGATTCTGATTTGGAAAAAAATTACTTATCAAAAGATTTTAAAATTTAAATGAATGAATAAGCATGGCTCACAAGAACATGACTTAAAAAGCCCTTTTTGAGCTTTAATTAATTTATTTTATGTTTTAATTTTTCAATAAATATAAAATACAAATTAAGCCATTGAGAATTAAAACACAACTTCACATAGCGTATTAATTATTAAATGAATTATAAATGTAATTAATGTAAATGAATAAAATGACTGCTAAAATTTTTAAATTGAAAATAATATAAAAATAACATATTATAATATAAAATCATATGTTATCAATTTGATTTGATTGATGACATTTCAAAATGAAGATCATTCAAAACTAACCATTTGTAAAACTCTTCAGAAAGAAAATGACAAACACAAAGACGCATATCAAAATTAAAATGGCGATGATCAAAATTAAATCCATTATTTAAAGTTATTTAATAATAATTTACAAATGAATTTTAACACGAAAGACACGAAGAGATATTAGAGGCAAGACATTAAAAGTAAACTTCACCAAAATGTTAAAAGTAAACTCTAGTTAATACTAATCAAAATTCCGCCGATTTTTTAATCATGAAAACAAACTTTAAAAAATATTTTTGTCAATTAACACTCCTAAAAGTTGTCTTTCTCTGTATAAATTTATTTAATAGGCGAATTTTTAAGAGTAGGTGCCTTGAAATGACCCTTTCCTTGGATTGTCCAGAGGGCCCCTTTGTAAGAAGCCAAGCCCTGATCATTTATTTTCAAATCCGGTTGAATAGATTCCCAAACTTTCTTCTTAGCATTTAACTGTTCATCTGGCTCACCTACCAAACAAAATAAATTAAAAATCCAACATTTTTATTAAAAATGAGTAGTAAGACAACTAACCGGAGTACCCTTCAACTGTAACTCTTTCTCCAATTAGAACATGAGCAGGTGGTTCGATAATTTCAACTTTTTCAGAGGTGCTGGCACACATAATCATCCCCTCAGACATCACACCTCTCATTTTAGCTGGCTTCAAGTTTGTCAGGAAAACTGCAAATCTGTTCTGCAACTGAGTTTATGAGATATATTGCTGCATGTAGTGATAAATTAAATAATAAAATTTTAGTATTGGATGAAGCGAAAGTGAGATTAGCAAAAACATAGAAATAAATGATTATGAAAATCAGACATATAAAAATGTCTGAACCTCTTCAATGGGAACATGTTTCACCAAGCCACTGACAACTGTTCTGTTCTTTCCCTCTCCTAAATCAACCTGATATTTTCATGAAATAATAAAATACAAAAAAATGTTTATGATGAAAAAATGTTTTCATAAAAAGCTATAAAATTTTGCAATAGGAACCTGTTCAACATACAGAGTGTCAGCATCAGGATGTTTGGACACAGAAACTATTTTACCAATTTTCATGTTCAACTTTGAAACATCAACCACAGCACTCTCAGAACTTTGAGCAACTTTTTCTAAGACGAAATCACATATTTAAATCACATTTTTTGAACATTTTATACTTTTGAAAAATGAAAATAAAAACGATAATTTTGCAACTAGTTACCAGTTTTAGCTTGAGTCTTCTGAACATTAGATTCCTTCTCAGCTTTTTTGACTGGTTGTGCCTTAATTTCTGTTTTTGGGGTCTTGCTTTGAGCATTTTTTATTGATCCAACTACACAACTACTGACATCTTTCTTTGGCAACACACTTGTAAAAGTATTGGCTGAATATGAAAACTGCATTGATGGAGGCATAGGAACTTGGACAACTGGAAAAAAGATTTTTTCAAGAAATTAGATCTAAAAAATATTAAAAAATTAAAATATTGTCTAAAAAATAATTTAATTATAGAATAACTTTTTTATTTAATCAAAAAATTTTAGATTAATTGCAAATTGAGCAGAAGATCATATTAACAATTATAACAAGCCACCTCCATTTTTGGTTTCTGCTTCAATTAGTCTGTTTCTCAACAAAATGACTTCTTGCTTCAATCTTTTGTTCTCTTCCTGATATTTAAGCTCTTCCTGTGCACAAAGACTAGCCACTGATTTGATTATTATGTTGTTAAATTTAATCAATTTAATATAGTGATAGTAAATTTGAAAACAAAATAAAAAATGCAGTGGGGAAAAACGTGGCGGCAACTGAAATCGAAAAGGATGAGTATGAAACTGTTGTTTGAGATGTTACATCAAATTTTCTTAATAACCGGCAACTTTTCTGGCCTGCGACAGCTGCTGTTTCAATTGAATTAACAGAGATTCTATTTGAACGGACTTCTCAAGAAGTTTTGGGACAGTGGCCGCCATTTTAAGCACTAAAAGTTGATTTAACTTGTAATGACGATCAACTAAGAAATTAGCTCCATGTAAATAATTCGTTTCATATTGACCAATTCAATTCATTCAAATGTGATCTCAAGCAAATAAAAACCAACAATATAAGACACAAATACAGTGTAAAATAGAATTTTTATAATTTTTATTTTTAATTTTTTGTTAAAAACTTATAAAATGTTTGTTTTTATTAACCTTTTAATAGCTTTAAACACTAACATCAAGCAAACATGGAAAAAATTGCAAAATATTTTGGTTTCGTAGTGCACGAACTTCAATATTTTTATAATGTAAAAAAATGATTAGATCGCAAATAATAAATCTCTCCCAAGATTTAATTTAATAATCTCGTACAAAAGTTTCATTTTAATGCAATTTAATTGTTAATTTGAATCGCCGATTTTATTTGAAATTGAAGTTTAACTCAATAACTATCTTCCTCTGTAAGTGTAATTCCCAAATTTATTCACTGTCAAGAATGCCTGTACCAAAAAGTCCAAAATCAACAAAATGTTACGTCCCGGTACATTTAATCGGGTAAGGTAGCCCAATTTGTTTATGTTGAGATGTTGACTTTATTTAAATTATATTGATATAGAATATAGATTCATTATAATCATAATGATTGTTATGATTTATTTTATGATTACATTACAAATGATGATTGATTAATTAGTTTTTCCTTAAATTTAAATTCAACCTTAACTCATCTCATTATATTAGAAATAAATAGTAATGTTATTGTTATTAATTTTAATATTATTTATATTTTCTAATTATATTACCTTTTATTACCAAAAGCTACTTGGATGTCTCGAACATAGTTGAAGGTCGACCTGTACAGAAATCTGACCTGACAGTTACCCATTACTCCATCAATCATCCAAATAGTTACCATGTCAAGGTCAACTACCATAGAAATCATACTCTGTGCTATAGTGAAACAAAAAACAAGAATAATTTAAATATTACTAATACTAATAAAAGTAATAACAATAATAAAAAGTACCTTGATATTGAACCTGATACTTCTGAACGAGACATTTATGTTACAGAATCTAATACTGACACAATCATCGTCGACGGAAGAGACCACCAAGACCCTTTAAATCTATATGAGGAATGTGTTTTTGTAAGTGGAGTCTCATTTAGTTTGTGTGAATGAATGTGGGATGGTAAAAAATGGTTAAGATGCAATACATAGTTCTGCTGCTATAGAGAATGCAACTGAATGCAAATAAAACCCTGTTTATATATATATATATATATATATATATATATATATATACATATATATGTGTGTGTGTGTGTGCGTGTGTGTGTGTGTTCGTGCGTGTATTTGTGTGTGTTGGGTTTAATTTCAAAATCAATTTGATCACAATAGGATAAAACTTCTTTCATATCCACACAATTAGGCTCCGAATAATGTCACTATCATCAATATTGAACCTGACACTATAGAAGTTAAAGTATGTATATTGTATTTTTATTATTGTAAATATTATTATTTACTTTACTTTTGCTGTTTTATATTTTTTTAAATAAAAAAAATTTTAGATGGAAGATGAAGAAATTGATACTGTTGAACAAGATGAAACGGTTTGGTTCGAAAGACATTTTATAAAATTTGATTGATTGATTGGTTGAATAATTGATTTGTTGAATAATTGATTGGTTGAATAACTGGTTGATTGAATGATTGATTGATTGACTGACTGATTAGCATACAATCCTTTTATAAGATTGACTACAAAGTTGAAGAAAACCCTGATTATATGTCGCCAGAAGAGGTGTGCTACATTTTAAATTTCAATAATTCAACACTATATAATGATAATAATAATAATAGATCCTTTAAATTACAACAGCAATACTGACTATACCACGTAATACGAAAATTATAACTTAATACTACTTATAATATTAATACCATATAATAATTATAACAATACTACAAAGCATTAATTACAACTCACAGTAATGTTAACAATACAACAAAATCGGTAACTACAATGCATAAATTGTTTGTTTAGGTATCTGTAGAAAGTTCACACACAGTGCATCCAACAGTAGAGACATACAGATCTATCTCACATGTTAGCATATAAGACTTTCATCTATCCTTCAAATTAATTACTTAATTAGAAAATAATATCATTTGTATGTTTATTTCCATTATATTTTGTTGTATTTTGTTTAAAAATTATTGATATTTCCACTAATTATTTTAAAAATGAAGTCTCCCTCGAACATATACAACCCACTAACCACAGCCAGTCAGTGCAACGGGGCATCATAGACATTGGTTAAGCAAGCAAAGCCATCAAAAAATATAACTTTCACAAATTATATTCAAATCTCTTCATCATTTTCCTCTCCTTAGGACCACAGCTATTTCGCAAGTTCATTCACGATAGAGCAGAAAATTAGGCAGATGCGGCTGATGGCCAAAAATTTGAAAAAAAGTTACAGAAGAAGGCTAATTAAATACGTGCATCTCGATATGGCTTACAAGGTGATGAAGAAGAAATTAAGGATGAGTAAGGAGCTTAATGAATATCTGATAAAAAGCCTTCGTTGTTTTCGGGTTTGTGACTGTGTGTGTGTTTGTGTGTGTGTATTTGATAATTTAAAGATGATAATAAAAAATGTGGCTAGTTTCATTAAAATGTTTCTAATACTTCCTATATGATATAATTTACTATAATTAACTTTAATTTTCTCTTTCAGAACGATGAATTCAGCTGGGCTGATAGCGAAGATGATGACTAGATTGAATGAGCAACTTAATCGCATATAACCTTGAAAAAACAGTTTCGAACACACACACGCACATATATATATATATACACACACATATATATAAATACACATACACCTATATGTTTTTGTATTTGTTTGCATAAAAATTTCAATGCGCTAACTTTTAGTTTTACTTCGACTAGTTAGTGATGCAAAAGTTTCTTTTGATTAGTGACAAAAATATTTATTTTCGGGTTTTATATAAAATTTTAAATGACTTTTTCAAATAGATGACCTCAAATATAATATTACTCAGATGATAATACATTAATATACCTAACGATAATATAATGTCATTATAACGATAATGTCATTTCGGCTAAAACTCGTCAGCAATAGTGTTGTCATCACTGACTGACTGAACAAGAGAAAAAATGAAATTAATAACGAATTTGAGATTGAGAGTTGAAAAATTACACTTGAATTAAAATTCACGTGAAAAATATAAACAAAACATTAAAGAACATAAGAAACACACGCATACACACACAAACACGTACACACACAGACATATACACACACGTACACACAAAAAAATCTTGTATAACCAACTCAAATATATCATGTACGAAAATAGAAACGTGTATAATGTAAAAAGTATGTAAACTCAGAAACAATGTCTCCACTAACTACATTACAAAATAGAGTAGAAAAATGTAATTATATATATATATACACATATATATACACAGTATATGATCAAGCAAAAAGACTTAACAAATTAATAAATTAACGAATAAAAAATTAAACACATCAAAAAGCAACTCATATAAACATGGCAAACTTACAAAAAATATAAACTGTAAAAAACTATACATATGTATATAGATATATATGTATATATGTGTGTGCGTGTGTATATATATTTATGTATATGCAATTATAGATGAAAATCACAGCATGTTCGGCGTTAGTTAGCTTTCAGTTTAATTTTTTGATCCTTCTAGAGGTAGATCATAGATTATTGTCAAGTTTCTTGAGTTCTAAACCAAAATTTTTATTTATTTTAAGCATGATAGAACAAAAAAGTTTTTTATTTTCGTCATTCCTATACCATCTTCACAAAGTTCAAACTAACTGCAACGCTTAACATGCTGGGATTTTCATCGACAATTGCATTTCTGACAGTCTTAATCCAATATATATATAACACATATATGTATATAAATAATATATAAATATTTTTATACGTATCGTTTGATTGTATTCTTTATGGACTAGTATATACACAAACATGTATAATGTATGAATAGTTATATAGAAATAGAAGAAAGCACATCGAAACCTAAATAAATATTTCTTTTTACCTATCTCTCTTTCTCTCTCTCTATCTATTTATCTGTATTTGTAAAACTGTGCATAAATATTTGTATATATAACATGCAACTATGTCATCGTGTATAAATGTATGTAACAATTCAATTTTATTTATTGTGTGTGTGTGTGTTCAAGAACGTATGTATACAGAGACAAAATACACAATATGGATGCATGCATGTAGGTATGTATGTATGTATGTAATGTTTGTAATGTATGTATGTATGTGTGACTAATACAAAAACATACACACGAGAAAAATACAAAAACGTACAGAGAGAAGAAATAAAAGACAGCCAAAAACTCAAAAGTAGATCTGTTAAGACATGCAACAAACACACCCACCATCTCCTTCTCTCTCTCTCTCTTTCACTCTCTATCTCTCTCCTTCTCCCTTTCTTTCTTACACTCACTCAGATTTTTTTTACAACTTTACGTTACATTTAAATTATTTGAAATTAATCAAATTAGAGGGAGGAGAGAGAGAGAGAGAGAGAGAGAGAGAGAGAGAGAGAGAGAATGAGAATAAAAAACAACACAGCAAAAAATGGACGCAGTAATCATCACTATATCACCAGATCAACTTATTTCACTACCATCTTCACTCTATATCAATGATATCATGATATCATCACATCAAACGCAGATAAAAACAATGATAGCACATGATATATCTTCATTGTATCATCATAAATACGTACGTATGTATGTATGTACGTATGTATATATATATATATATATATATATATATATATATATATATATATATATATATATATATATATATATATATATATATATACATAGACACATGATTTCATCTCCTCCAGATATTATCATCATCATCACTTTAGAACGAATAAGATGAAGAGGACGATGAAGACAAAGATTGACACAAATAGGAAGATTATTGCAAGCCAAGACTTCCAGGAGGCTAAAAAATTTAAATATATCAAGACAAATTATGATAATTAGATAAATTATGATAATTAGGTTAGCAATATCAGTAAAATACCTCAATTATATTTCTCTTTGTATATTGAAGAAGTTCATACTTACATAAGTAAATTATGATGAATCTAAAATAGAAATAACCTTTTGACATGTGCATAGCTTTGTAGAACTTTTTAAACAGAAGACTGCATGGTCTAGAGCCAATGTTATTCGTGCTATTCAGTATGTTTGTCGTATCATCAAGCATCCTATAATTCAAATAATTAATTATAAAGTAATAATAATTATTATGATTATAATTAATGTTGTAATAACTGTTAATAATTATAACATACACAGTTTGTTCGTCTTGTTGAGGGCTTATTTCTCTCGTGCTGTTTGAAACCTCTCGTGCATTCTGTTCAATCTGTCATTCATTCATTCATCTTGTCATTCATTCATTCATTCATCTATCAATCAATTCAATCATTCATTTATTCAATCAATCATTTGTTTGTTAATTCATTCATTTTACCAACCCCCATCCATATATTATTTCAACATGTGAACTCATCTAACTATCTAATTTGTAATTTATTAGCCAATCATCAACTAGCCAGTCATCAACCGACCAATCAGCAAACAGACCTCAAGTCTCAGGCACTGGCCGACACCATTATACTCCCTATCGGCTTGCTCATCAATGGCATCGGGTTCGTTCTGCAGTCTGCTGTACTTACTGCTATTGGCACAACTTACACTACTGCTGCCACTGTTAATGTTGTTGCTGTTGTTGCCGTTATTGCTGTTGTTGTTGTTGCTGCTGCTGTTGGCATTACTGCTGTTGTTGTTGTTGTAAATTCTGGAGGTGCGAGTGAAAACTGAGGTCTGGGATGGGGAATTTTGTTTAAATTATACTAACAAAAAAGAAACAACAATATTAATAAGAGGAAGAATAATAACTTTCACCTCTTTTAATAGCGAGGTGGTTTCTTTTGATTTTGGTTGTGGATCATTCATCTGATCACGAATTTCCTAAAGCGGTAGTAAATAAACTTATGTTAAAAATATGGCAAACTCTATTTTTAAAAAGCTACTAAAAACTATGCCAAGAAATATTAATAGAAACACACGACTCTGTATTCAAGTCACAAACTATCAAAAATATTATTGACAGCAGTAGTATTGTTAATGTTTAACTCTAACTTTAACAGATTTTCTGGTAGTATCAATAAAGATCTTTCTATCTTTCAGCTCCGATGATGCTATTTTAAACTTCTTCCAATTTTTCTCAACAATGCGTTTGAAAGCAATTTCATAGAAGAGAATAAAAAAAACTATTAAGGTAATAAATTACATTACACTAGTTGAATAAAAGAAAAATATGAATATAAAATGAAAATCCAAATAAAAATTGAACATCATTCACAACTATAATAATATCCATTCAAAAATTAGATATATATCATAATAATATATTTAGGTAAGACCTCAGCTCTCCACACATATTAGTTAGTAAAGTTAGTGAAAGGATATTTATAGTTTCATCCAGATCTTCTAAATCCCACTCAATACTTCTCAAACAGTTTTTCAATTCATTTGTGGTCCAATCATATTCCTCCTTTGAACATAGCGATGGCTCGTTTGTCAGGTCACACCATCTGTAAAATAAATTAATCGTCATGTCGATCGTTCGCTGGACCTCCCTGGAGTAAAAATTAGAAGATTGAAAAAGTTAGGATAGCATACCAAAATTTTTATTTATAAGATTTTCATAGAATAAATATCAACTTACTCCCTAACGACAAAAAACGGATCCTCCATTTTGTTCAAACAATAATTATTTTAACAAATTAGTTAATTAACTCAACGATTAATTACATTTTCACACTAAATTGGACGAAAAAGATACAAACTGGGCGACCATTTAATTTTTTATTTATCTCAGCAAGCTGAGGACGCGTTCTTGAGCTCAGAAGCATTTATACCATTTAAAATTAAAAGTTAAACACTAAATAAATTGCAAAGTACACGAAAGACGATAACTAAGAAAGGAGTAAGATGATAGAATATATCTATAAATGATACTAATGATTGAATGATGATAATTATGAATGATAACAACGTTCATTTTGATGATAATGTTGAGTTTGATAATGATTTGGACGTGACGATAACAGTGGTGATGATGAGGGTGAAAATGATGGTTATGGTGAAGAAAG